TCTGATGGGCTTTCTTTTGCATGTGATTTGTTTCTTTTCTCTAACTGCTTGTGTTTTGTTCTTCTCTTGGGGTTTCCTGGATCTTGACTATTATATCTCTAGGTGTAGGGTTTTTTCGTTTTTTTTCCCATGACTAGTTGGAGTCCTATGTGCCTCACTTATCTGTATGTCAAGTTCTTTTGCTCTGTTTGGGAAGTTTTCTATCCTTAATTCTGTGAAGTTTTTTAGTTTGTCCTTTCTCCTGTTATTTTGTGGACTCCAATCAATCTTATATTATTCTTCTTTGCATCATCCAGGAGCTGCTGGATTGATTTCTCATGGTCCCTTACTATTTTTAAGAGATCTCTCTTTTCATGGTCACTGACGGCCATCCGGTCTTCCATATCTGATATTTTGTCTTCAGATTGGCTCATTCTGCTGTGTATACTTTCAATAATTTTTAATTTCCTGGACATCTGTTTGAATCTGTTTCATGGTTTCCATTTCTTTCCTATGCTGAGCATTCATGGCTTCCATCATGCTCCTGAACTCATCTATTTTTTTATCTGTTTCTCTCCTAGAGACTCGAATTATGTCTTTTATTCTGCTCACCATCTCTGTAGTTATCTGGGAAATTATTTCTGTTTCGAATTTTTCTAGATCCTCATTCATCTGTTTTGTTACTTCCCGTGGTATCAGTTCAGGGGTCCAGGCGGTTATCAGACTTTTCCACATCGTTTCCCCCAGAATTTGCCTTTGGTGAGCTGGAAGACTGTGTCTTACTTAAATGTCTTTTCATTTCTATTCTTGTTGTTGATACAGTCTTTGGTTTAATTCCTGGGTTGATACTGTGATATGAATATCTTTGTTGTTTGTATTTAGAACCCTTATGGAATGATTACTTCTCATAGATAGCTGGTTTTAAGGTTTTGAGTCTCTAGTGACTCTGGGGCAATCACATTTTCCTTAAAGATAACTGATTAGAACAATCACAACACTAGCCCAAGTGATACAATCAGCAAGAACAGTAGAATCAAGCACAGCTTAGAAGATGACAATTTGTGATAGTTATTAATCTATCACCTTTAACCATATGAAATGAATCAAAATCAAGGACTAGCCCAAAATATATTTATAGTGAATAAACTGTTCAATATAGTAACTTTACCCTTTGGCACGGGACTTAGGAGTAAGGCCCTCTTACTGATCTTCACTTCTGCTCTGTCTTTAAGACTCCCTGTGCTTCTGCAGTGTGGATCCAGGTACAGGTGCAGCCAGGAGGCCAGAGGGAGGAAGAAGGGTACATACTCTGGGATGGTACGGGAGGCACCTCTCCTCACAGGCCTTTCTATTATGCTATTTCTGCATTTGAGCCTATCAACCACAGGCTGAAACTTCTGAATCTGTGAGCCAAAATAAACCTCACCTCCTCAAACTTGTGGGTGTTGGGTATTTTGTCCCTATGATAAAAAAGTAACTTAAGACACTTGGATATAAGTATTTTCTGAGGTACTGTGTGTGTGTGTGTTGCTGGGAATTGAACCCAGGGCCTCGTGCCTGCTTAAAAAACGTGCTCTGTTACTAAGCTACATCTTGCCCCCAACTTTTTGTACCAGGGATCGAACTCAGGACCTTGCATTTGTGAGGCAAGTGCGGTGCCACTGAGCTAAATCTCCAGCCCCACCCTGGCCCTTTTTATTTTTTGATTTTTTTTTCAGCTTTAATTGAGTTTATTGGTACATTTTAGGGATACAGTACAGTTACATTCATTGTTGGGATCGTGTACCTCTACATGACAAGTCTTGATTCTCATTTTTTCCCCTTACCCCTGCCCTCCCTTCACCCCCTCCTCCCCTCCTCATCTACAAACACTTTATTTTCATCTTTTCATTATCTCACATTTTTTCTTTTCCCTTATTACCCTTCCCCTACCCATCCCACCTTCCCTATACGTTTCCTTTTTTAAAACTTTATTTTGAACCAGTCTACCTAAGCTGTTCCAGATGGCCTTCAACTCGTAATCCTCCTGCATCAGCCTCTTGAGTAGCTGGGATTATAGGCAAGTACAACCTCGTCTGTTACCATATAAAGGAAAATTAAGTACATCTCATAAAAAATTAATATTGTTGGGCCAGGGATTTAGCTCAGCGGTTCCGTGGCCTGCCTTGCAAGCACAAGGACCCGAGTTCAATCCCTGGTACAAAATAAATAAATAAATAATAATAATAATATTATCAGTAAATTTTGAAAACTGAAGAAACTAATGTACTTATCTCTATTTTTTTTTTTTTGGTTACACATTTTTGCTACATAGGGTAAAATAATATATACTATCACAAATGATTTCATTTCTATCATTATAGTTGTCTGGGTACTTAAGAATTCTCTTCATATGTACAACCTGCATGCCACACTTCCTATCATACAGCACCGATCTAGACTTCTGTTGGGCCTTGTGAGTAGAACATTGATCTTTATCTTCCAGGGACAGCCCCGGGCTTCCCTTCCTGGAGCCTGGAGCAACTTGCACTCTGGGCCCACTTGAAGATTCCAGCTGTGGCCAGTTCATTAAGCAAATAATTAAGAAGTTTTGTCGCCGGACCAGGCACTGTGCAGAGGAATTACACAGAAAATGTCATAAAGGTCCGACATCCTTAACACAGTCGCAAAGGGGCCGTGATTCATCTGTCTCACTACCAGGCAGCTTTGAACCACCGGTGGTCCATGCATGCCGTCCCATTGGGTGGTAGAAGCTTGTAGGAACGTATGAAAGGATAAGCTAGCAGGACCAGCCTTGTCACAGTGGTGTAACTGCTTTCCTCAACAGCCTATTTGTGAGGATATTTTGGCATCAAGAAATGATTAAGTTTGGGTGCGGACGATGGCACACACCTGTAATCCCAGCTGCTTGGGAGGCTGAAGCAGGAGGATGGCAAATGCAATCCCCGCCTGAGTAAATTAGTAATTTACTAAATTAAAAAGGCTGAGGGTAAAACATTTGCTTAGTATGCACAAGGCCCTGAGTTTAATCCCTGGCTTCACCAAAAAAAAAAAATTAAAACATTTCTGCTTTGCCCTGTTTTCTGCCTTTGCTAGAAATCTAATCAGATTGCATCACCTGATCCTCCCTTCCTTTTTAGCATAACCAACTCCCACATCTTGTGCTGTAGTTCCAAGCTTACACTCCATCCTGGTTGTTTTTTTTTTTTTTTACCCTTATCAATGCTATACAAAGATAAGGCAAAATAATGTTGTGCTATGTTACTTCCCAAACCCTGACAGGTTGTTTTTTTGTTTTCTTCCTGGTGTGTGTGGGGGGGTCAAACCTCAGGCTTCACACACGCTAGGCAAATGCTCTGCCTAAGAGTATGAACTAAGCCCCCAGGGTGTCAGTCATCAATTTGTAATAGTAAATCTGCTGAGTGTGGTAGTGCATGCCTGTGATTCCAGCATTCAGGAGGCTGAGGCAGGAGGATCTCTGCAAGTTTGAGGCCAATTTAGGCTACACAGTGAGTTCAAGGCCAGCCTGAAGTACATAGCTAGACCCCGTTTCAAAACAAAACAAAAAAACAGAGAGAAAAGGGTGGGGGAGAAAGAAAGTTTCCATAGTACATGTAGACACTTGGGCAGATGCTTTCTTCCTCCTCTAGGTTACAGATCCCTTAGAATAGCTTTGTTCCTCAAAGAGCCAGGTTGAATTCTTTGCCTCCATCAGCTATAAACAGTGTGCTATATCCTCCAGTCTACGAAGAGATGGACAAATGACAAGATTCTGGCAACTTTACCTTTTACAGAGCTCTTGAATAGCAAGATGAGATGACATATTCCTGTAGCTCCAGCTACTCAGAAGGCTGAGGCAGAAGGTTCCCTTGAACACAAGTTCAAAATCAGCCTTTGCCAACCTAAGGAGACCCTGTCGCAAATTTAAAAAAGCATAAAAATAACCTTGTAAATTATTGATTTCCTTTTCCATAGCAATCGTCTAAGTCTGGGGTACTACTATTATGTTTTAAAATGGTTTTTCTGGGCGTGGTGGCGCACGCCTGTCATCCTAGCACTCAGGAGACTGAGGTGAGCGGACGAGTGTAAGCTCGAGGCCAGCATGGGCTACATAGAGAGACTCTGTCTCAGAAAGTAAAACGCAACACAGTTTTGTCTTAAGCTGCTGTCTCCACCTTATGCCTTCACGCTCATGTTTGCTGATCTCCATTCTGACTAGCAAATCTGTGGATTCCCTTACAGTGAGAAGTGGATCCAAATGGCTCCCCTGCTCACATCACTCCAGGAGGTTCCCAGCCTTCAGTATGGCCTGGTCACTGTCCCCTCTCATCACAATTTCTCTCTGCTTTGGCCAACTCCCTCAGGCCTTTTTTTTTTTTTTTTGGTACTGGGGATTGAACTCGAACTCGGGACCTTGTGCTTGCGAGGCAGGGGAGGCACCACTGAGCCCTCCCTCGGCTTTTGCTCATTCACTCTATATCTCTACCTGCGCTCAATAATCTATTACATTCCGCTTGTTTCAAAGACAAGGTCTCTCACTATGTAGCCCAGGCTGGCCTTGAATTTGTGATCCTTTGGCCTCAGCCTCCTGACCACCGAGATTACAGGTGTGCACAGTCACACCAACCTTCTTTACTTTTTTATTTTTGGTGCTGCCGATGGAACCGAGGGTCTCCAGTAGCAAGTGCTCTACGACTCAGCCCCACACTGCTTCTTAGTAATTCTTATGTCTGAATAACAAACTTGCCCATAGTCATTTAAAATCATCTTCCCCACCAGGTGAGGTGGTGGTGCATGTCTGTAATCCCAGCATTCTGGAGGCTGAGGCAGGAGGATCGCCATGACTTTGAGGCCAGCTTGGGCTACAGTGCGTTCAAGGCCAGCCTGAGCTACATAATGAAATCCTGTTTAGAAAAAACTCTTGAAAAATAAAACAAGATCACCTTCCCTGATAGACTGTCAGCCTCACGGTGGCAGTACTGTGTCTGTTTTAATAGTTACTGTTTTCTTGTTTCTGGCAGACAGCCCAGTTCTTCATCATGTGGCTTGAGCCACTGGTGGTACACACGTGACTGTCCCTTCATGAGACTTGTACCACCCGACAGGACTGCCCCATGCTGCCTGAAGGGACAGCCACGCAGTATGACATACAAATCACAGCCCCCATCATGAAGGTGTTTAAAGGAACTAAATGGCTATTTGTGGATTGTCTCATGATCACAAAGTGACTGCATTACCACAGAAAGGTGAGAGCTCCACACAAACAGAAGACGTGCAGGAATCACAATCCCAACAAAACACTTAACATTCATACAAATGCTTGTCCACAATACAGCATAGGGCCGGGGATTTGGCTCAGTGGTTCTGCTGCCTGCCTTGCAAGCACAAGGGCCCGAGTTCGATCCCCAGTTCCAAAAAAAAAAAAAAAAAAAAAAAAAACGCAAAACACAATACAACATAAACACTGTATTTCTGAAAATTAATTTGAGCATTTTCATTTGGGATAAAAATGGATTGGATACTGATATTCATTTTTTTAAAAAAAACTTATCTTTTAAGGTGGGGTCCTGCTAGGCAGTTCAGGCTGACTTTGAATTCACGCTATGTAGCCCAGGCTGGCCTCAAACTCACAGTGAACCTTCTGCCTGAGCCTCCTGAGCACTAGGATGACAGGCGTGCGCCACCACACCTGTTCAGAAGGAAATTTCTTGCATTTCAATCTAGCATCTGCTTCTTGTATTTCCCCAGAATCATTTGTAAGCAGGTTTACAAAGTGTTGACTCCAAAACTGCCAAAACAATGTTAGCTAAAAATATATTTTAAGAACGATTCTCTGAATCTTCTAGACTAGGAAGTAGCAAACTACAGCTCAAAAGTTTATTTTTCATAAATAAAGATATAAGAGATGGAGAAAACAGTTTACAAACAAGATGACAGACAGGTTGCCGTGGTGCATGCTAGGAGTCTCAGCTCTTCAGAAGGCTGAGGCAAGAGTATTATGAGTTCAAGGTCAGCCTGGGCAACTGTCTAGAAAATAAGTAAATAAATAAGTACATTTGTTAAAAGGGCTGGGCAGGTAGCTTAGCTTGCCCTAGGTTCAACCTTCAGTATCACGAAAAGGTAGTGGAGGTGGAGGTCGGGGATAAGTATACAACCAGAAATACTATTACAATGTGTGACTTCCTAAAAGAGCACGTGGCACTTCATCAAAAGTCAGTGTAGCTGGATGCTGTGGCACACACCAGGTCTCTGGAAGGCTAAAGCCAAAGGTTCACAAATTCCAGCCGGGCCTGGCTAACTTGGTGCATTTACAAGACACTGTCTTGAAACACCAAGATAAATAAATAAATTTAAAATGTTTAAATTAGCCTCCCACATGCTAAGCAGGTATTCTACCACGGAGCCACAACACCCAGCCTGGTCCTGCAAGCCAAGCGCGGTGGCCCACGTCTCAGAAGGCAGAGACAGGAGGATTACAGCGAGTTTGAGGACTATATAGTGAGCTCAGGCCCAGCCTGAACTTCATATTGAGACCCTGTCCCTCCCAAAAAACAGGAAAAAAAGTGCAATATCAAGTACTTTACAGCGGAACATCACGTCTACAATTTATTTTCAGTGTTCTAGCAGTTCACCATAAAATCTATTTGTGAGGGAGGCAAAATACATAAAATGCCAAACATAAATGAATCCATTCTAATGCATATTTATTGTTACAGGTTCAAATTACCTGTAGGTTTAGGAATTTTCGAAAGAAAAATGTTTGAAGAAAAACAATCCAACAACCCTGTTGTTAATGGCGAATTCAATTATTCATAGAGTAGTGGGCCAAGGAAATAGGTCAGTAGTAGGACGCCCCAGCCAGCACACTAACGGGGTAGGGGAGTCTAATACAGCCTCCATTCGCGGAGGCTCCATGTTTGTTTTGGAGATAGGGTCCCGGTATGCAGGCCAGGCTGGCCTCGAACTTGCAGTAATCCTCCTGCCTCAGCCTCCTCAATACTGGGATAACCGGTGTGCGCCACCGCGCCCGGCGTGAGGCTCCAGTTTTGAAGCGCTGGGAGGATGTATAAGCTTAGGAACTTCAGATAAAAAAAACAACTGGGTATTGTTTAGTTTTCTTTAGTAGAAACACCTGCGTGTACAACTTTATTATAGTGTGCACAAAGAAATACCCCAGCAAAAGATCTTTATCTTCTTACTTTACCAACGCTTGGCAAAAATAAATACAGGACTAGCGAGACAAAGTGAAACCGTTTGCATGAGAAAAGCCTCTCTCCCAGGGCTCACCAGAATGGGTTGGAATTGTCAGGTCCTTGAGGCTGGGGGACGCAGGCCGGATTCAACGTGATTAGACTCGTGAAAATAATTTTTCCTCTCTGAAAAAAAATCCAGAAAGGTTCTCTGGAATTTGGGGGGGGGGTCCCTTTTTTTTTTGCAATGCTGGAATGGACCCACGGTCTCAAGTATGCTAGGTAAGCGCTCGGCACTGAGAGGCGCTTTGCAGGAGAAAGGCGGGGTGGGGGTGGGGACACTGAGAACGCAGCCCGGCGACACTGCCACTCCGGCTTCTCCTGGGGACGCAGGACACGGCCGTGCCGGGGAAGCCGTGACCCCGACGGGCAGACCTGTCTTTCGTTGCCTCCCAGCCACACCCGAACCCTCTGCTACACGGGATCATCTCAAAGAAAGAACCCACCCGACCACCAAGGAGGAGCAGCCCTTGGACCCGCGCAGCACGCGGCGGAAGCGACCACCCGGTGCTGTGACGTCACTTCCGGTCCCAGCCCGGGTCGCGGAGGGGGCAGTGCTCTGGCGTTCAGTCCCGGGTGGATGAGCAAATTCTGGTTTCCTTTGGTGAACAGGACCTTAGGACCGGTTCGGCGCTGGGGCCCGACAGAAACTGACCAAGGGAACTAGCTTTAAAATAGAAGTAGCTGTGGGTGGCAGTAGGGCGGGGGCGGGGCTAGGGGAGTGGGCAAGAGCGGGCGCTTTTCTTACCAGCACTGATGTCACCTTGCTATAAAATCGTACCTGAATATAAAGAGAATGCCCAGAATGCCCAATATTCAAAAGATAGGCCCATAACTGTGAGTCATATGTGGCTGTGAAGCGCTTGAAATGTGGCCAGTCCAAATCGAGGCGTGTTATAAATGTGAAATAAACTCTGAATACCAGATTCGGAAGACTTGGTTAAAAAAGGGAATGTAAAATACTTGACTAAAAGAATTGATCACATGTTAAACTAAGTACAAATAAAAGCTTTTCTGTGTGCCTGTCACCTAGTTCCTGATCAATATACCAACCAGACTTATAAACAGGTCTAGAAGCAAAATGAAAAACACAATGCTAAGTCCACAGCCCACAGAGGACAAGCTATACCAGTACACAAGCGGACAGTCTCACATGATGACCGCTAGAAACACACCCTGAAACACTAGGTCTTGAACTGGGGGTGCAGCTCAGCGGAGACCCCAGAACTGAAAAACTAAAACAAAGAAGCCCCAAGACCCTAGTAGATCAAGGCTGGCCCCAACTAAATAAGTAGAACCTGGTGAATAGGGGTGTGAATTCTATCTGCAACTTGCTTTGTCACCAGTCGTGTAATGTGATCACAGTACTGACATCCTCTTCCCTTTGCCTGTGTGGGGCGCGGGGAAGACTGGGGTTTGCACACAGAATTTCACGCTGAACTACATCCACGTACCTTTTTAATTTTTATTTTGAGACAGGACTTCACTAAATCAGTAAATTGCCAGGCTGTGTTCAGACTTGCAATCCTACTGCCTCAGGCTCCCAGAGTGCTGGGATTACAGGCCTGCACTACCATGCTTGACTCCCTAAATTCTTTTCCAGTGGTAGGTCTCTCTTTCCCTTTCCCTTTGTTTCTTGAAGACCTTGTGGGGCTTTTTCCTTTCTTGGGTGTGTGCACATGTGTGTGTGTGTGTGTGTGTTTGTGCATGCACACTTGCGCTTATGTATGTGCAGGGGATTGAACCTAGGGCCTCACACATGCTAAGCATGTGCTTTACCACTGAGCAACACTCCTAGCCTCTTGGAATATATTTTGAAAAACCTATTGTCATTTTCCACTGAATTCGAACATATGTACAGCGTATGCAACAGTGTCCATGTCCATTAAAGAAAATGGGAGAGCTTATGCATAGGAGCTTGATTTGATTTGAAAATACCTTTCAGTGAAAACAAAACCCAAATTACCCTCAGTGGAAGAAAGGAAAAATTAAATTAGTCTTATTTAATGAAGCATTCCTCAGCAAAGAAAAGCAATAGTTTACAGATTGTAATAGTTTTTTTTTTTAATTGAGTTTATTGGTACATTTTAGGGACACAGTGCAGTTACATTCATTGTTGGGATCTTGTACCTCTACGTGACAGGACTTGGTTCTCGTTTCAGATTGAAATAGTGTTTTATGGGCACCACCGCTTTGGTGACTTAGAGTATCTCGGTGGGCTGGTGCTGTGGCTCCGTGGTAGAAGGCTTGCGGAGCATGTGGGAGGCCTTGGAATGGATCCTCAGTGCTGCAAACAAAACAGCAATTTATTCACAGTGGCTAAAAGCTGGAAATGTGGGCATGGTTTAGCCAAATTCTCCGCTAAGGATGCCATCAGGCTAAAATTACACAGCGACCAGACTGCAGCCTCATCTTATTTTTCTCTCCCTTTTGCTTCGCAGCGCTGGATCAAATCCAGAGCTTCATGCCTGCGAGGCAAGCGCCCTGACACTGAGCTGCACCCCAGCCCTACATTCTGATCTTGAGGCTCAAACAATAAAGGATTTCTTTCTAATCTCCTTCAGACTGTTGGCAAAATGTATTTCTGTGTGTCTGTGGAATCCTGGGCTACTTATTTCATCAACGGCAGTAACAGAAGCTGGGCATGACGGGGCATGCCTTAAATCCAAGCTACTGCCTGAAGCAGGAGGGTGGGGGCCAGTATGGGCAGCAGACTGAGATCCTGTCTCCAAGGGGGGAAAAAAGCTAGCAACAGAGACAGTAGACCTGCTGCTTTGAGTCTCCTGATCCCTACACCCACTTTGAAAGGCTCGCCTGATTAGTTTAGGCCCTCCCCAGGATGGTCTCTCATCGGATTAATTCAGAGACCAATGATTAGGGACCTTAATGTCACTTTAAAAGTCCTTTGTTGTTGCCACATAATGTAACCAAAGGAGTAACAACACCCATCACTTTTGTCTTACTCTCTTGATTAAAGGAAGTTGTAAAACCCACCTACTCTCAGCAGGATGAGATTATACAAAAATGTCCCAGAGGGCAACAATCATGGGAATCATCTCCCAGTTGTACCTTCTATTCAGCTGTATGCGATCAGACGCACAAAGCTCATAAATATAATGTTGCATAAGAAACCAGACATAGAGCCGGGCCTGGTGGCCCACACCTGTAATTATAGGTTAATCTCAGGAGGTTGAGGCAGGAGGATCACCACAAGTTTAAAGTCAGCCTGGACGACATAGTGAGTTCAAGACCAGCCTGCCCAAATGCCCACGAACTGGTGACTGGATAAAGAAGATGTGTTTTATGGTTAAAAAAAAAAAAAAAAAAAGGGAGTACTACTCAGCCATGAAAAATGAGAAAGTAGAGATATTTATAGCTAAATAGATGTGCATTGAGACAATACTCAAGTGAAATAAATAGGACACATGTGTAAATACTGAATAGTTTCTCTGTTGTTAGAAATTAAAAGTGTATTAAAGGGCCAGGGATTTAGTTCAGTGATTCCACCGCTCGCCTTGCAAGCACAGGGACCCAAGTTCGATCCCCAGTACCCCCCCAAAAAAGTGTATTAAAGACCAAAATGTATAATAGATAATGTGAAAAGGAAAGAAAAAGTGCAAAGGGGAAGTGGGAAGGGTAGGGGAAAGGAAAGAGGAATGGAATTAACATGAAAAAATTAAAAAATGGAAACAAAGTCTTTGTAAATAGAGAGGGGTGGAGGGGTTGAAGGGAGGACAAGGGAATGGGGAAAAATAAGAATAAAAATATATTATGTAAAGTTATGACTCTCTAATGAGGAATGTCATTATATTGTATACCTAAAATGTAGCAATAAAATTAATGAATTTAAAGGCCAAGCAAGCAAGACCCCGTCTCAACAAAAATCTAAAAAACAAAATAAAACAAAAGCAAAAACAAAGCCATATTGATTGACTGATCGACAAAGTTTCACTCTGTTGCCCAGGCTGACTTCAAATGCTTGGAATCAAGCGATACTCCTGCCTCAGCCTCCCGAGTAGCTAGAACTACAAAATGCACACCAAGAAGTTCAGTTTATGTGATGCTCTTATTAAAATTTGAAAACTAGGCCAAACCACTTCCAGTTTAGGGAAAGATGAAGTCAGCACCGTTTTTCCCAGTCCGTTTCACTGAACACAGGTGGAAAGTGTAGAGAGATCTGGGGCAGGGTGCACACCTCTAATCCTTGTACTGCGGGAGGCTGAGGCAGGAGCAACACAAATTCAAACCCAGCCTGGGCAATTTGGTGACTTCATGAGACCCTATCTCAAAATAAAATAAAAAGGAGGGCTGGGGATGTAGTTCAGTGTGAAGGTACTGGGTTTAATCTCAGTACCATAAGAAAAAAAAATCTCAGAAAGAATACACAGACCTGAAAACTCGAGGCCAGCCTGGGCTACCTAGCAAAAGGCCAGCCTGAACTGCATAGTGAGATCCTCTCTCAAACAAAACAAAAAGGGATACACAGAGCAGCTATTTGGAGAATATACGAAGTACATAGTAGTAGGTGAATGGAGGGAAAAGATTGTATTTTCGAGTGATAACTAGGAAACCAGAAAAAGTTTTAAAAAGAAAAATATTTGTTTTAAAAGAACAAAATAACATCATTAGAGCTGGGGATGGAGCTCAGAGGTAGAGCACTTGCCTAGTGGTTAGGAACCAGACCAAGTTTAAGAACTGCAACTTTGGGGAACTAAAAGCCAACCGAAAAAAAGAGAGAGGCAGAGAGAGAGAGAGAGAGAGAGAGAGAGAGAGAGAGAGACTAATTACTGGCTGCTCCAGGCTGTTACAAGTCCGAGAAAAAAATTGATTTTAAACTTTAACTTCTGAGCAAGTGCCAAGTCTAGCAAATAGAATGCTATCCTTACATTCTAACTGACCTAAAACAAACTAGATACAGGTTCTGGGTGAGGAATGGAATTAAGTAAATTAAGTAGTCATATTTATAATTTTTTCCACTGCTAGGGATTGAACCAAGGGCTTTCCAACTAAACCACACCCCAGCCTTCCTTTCTTTCTTTCTTTTCTTTTCTTTGTTTGTTTGTTTGTTTCTTTCTTTCTTTTCAGGGTTTCACTGCTAAATTGCCCAGGTTGGACTTGAATTTGAGATCCTCCTGCTTCAGCCTCCCAGAGTGCTGAAATTACAGATGTGTGTTATCATGCCTGGTTCATATTTATAATATTGTAATCTAGCCTGGCATGGTGGCACATGCTTCTAATTCCAACACTGGGGAGGCCGAAGCAGGAGGAATGCCATGAGGTCTAGGCCACATAGTGAGGCCACATAGTGAGCTCAAGCCCAGCCTGAATTGGGCCTGAGATCCTGTATTTTAAAAATTAATAAAATATATAAGAAGTTTATTCAAGTAATACATGCATGGGGTTCAAAATTCCCAGTGGCTCACCACTCCCCTTCCTCAGCTAAGTCTGCAGATCCTTTTGTGCTACCTCACCCTATCATCCATCCTTCCACTCCCCCGGCCCCTGATCTCTTACGCTTCTCTTTCTTCCTATCCTTATTTTCCTCTTCCTCATTTTATATTTAAGATCCTCTGAGTAGAACTGTTCTTTCACAAAAGGAGAAATATTGATGTTTACATACGGAGAGAACATTTCTAAACGCAAACGCCTGGGAATAGGATTGGGGAGAGATGACTTTTCCATGCACACTCCTTTTTCTACTGTTTGAAATATTTTTTGGTTACTATGAGCATCCATTGTGTGTCCTTTTACTGAAAAGAACAGAAACTGCTGACAAAATAAAGAAAACTACACATTCGAAGAGGGCAAAAAAAATTCGAGATCTACAAAGGACATCGTTATGTTGCACAACACACAAAAGAACCGACGATGAGACTCTCAGCATGGTGTCGGTCGACCTAAAGAAGAAAGGCTGAAAGAACAGGCGTGGTGGGACGGAGGAGACAGAGCATTTCATGGATTGGCAGATTTATGAGCATGGCAAATCGCCGCAGGGCCTCGGAACGCGGGGAGAGGCCGGCAGAGAGGCTTTCGCGAGCGTTCTAGGCGCGCTTTCCCCCCCTCATTCCTGCCTTTCTG